ACCTTTTTTGGTAGAAAAGGTGATTAAAGATTCGTTGGCGTCCTCAGGCTGGAAAGGCTTTTGGTCGCCAAAAGCCTGAAGTGAACTGTTGTTTTACAGGTGAAAAGGCAGAGATTCATACCCCTAATTCCCAGGGGGTGGTGGTGATCTGAGTGGCACCCCCTCACACGGAAAGGGATGATCTTTAATGGGATGATTTTTAGTGGGATGATCTTCAAGGTCCCTTCCCACCCAAACCGCTCTGAGATCCCGGTGATTCTGCCATCCAGCCCCACCTGGAGCTTCCCCTGCCCTCTCTCCCCAGGCAATCATCAACAGCACCATCACCCCCAACATGACCTTCACCAAGACCTCCCAGAAATTCGGGCAATGGGCCGACAGCCGAGCCAACACCGTGTACGGGCTGGGCTTCGCCTCGGAGCAGCACCTGTCCCAGGTAACCTGAGTGCCAGGAAGGGGCTCTTCCCTGAATTCAGCTGTCTGAGAGGAATTGAGGAGCATGTTGAATGAAGCAACCCAGGCATCAGCTCGAGTTGTCCCACATTTTGACTTTTCCCTCCCCTCCTCTCCACCTCCTCCAGTTTGCAGAGAAGTTCCAGGAAGTGAAAGAAGCAGCTCGTTTGGCCAGGGAGAAGTCCCAGGATAAAACAGAGCTCACCAACCCTGCCCTGAACATCACATCCCACCAGGTAATGCTCGCAGAGAGGCAGGAGGGGAGGAGGGAGAGCTGTTCCCTGTGCTGCTCTCCTCCTGCTCTCATCCCCTCCTCCCCTTTGTAGCCACACTCAGTGATTTCGGGGGAGCCCTGAGCTCGCTCCTGGAACCCACCAAGCAGATTCATTAAGGGGTGCTGCAGTGGAGCTCCTGGCAAGGTCCAATCTCCTCCCTCTTGGCTGGTTAAACCATTTCAAGCCTTGCTGGAGGAGGTGGTGGTGGTGGTGATGGTTGTGATGGTGGTCAGGAGTTTTTGGGTTCTGCTGGGTTTCTTTTCTCCTTGGGGAGAGCTCTCTCTGGGCTCAGGCCAGGGACGTGCAGAGAGCCCCTCAGGACGGGGATGTGGCATTTCCACCTGGTTTTGTTCTTCTCCTGGGGGTCAGGAAGTTCCTCTCTGATGATTTCTGGTGACTGAGGGGTGCTGTGAAAGTTCCCCTTGGGAACCCTCCCCTCAGCGAGAGCTGCGTGTGACAGCCAGTCACTCAATCCTCCTTCCCCCAGGAGACCAAGCCAGGGAGCTGGAGCCCATCACAGATCTCTCTCACGTGTTTTCCCACTGCCTTTCTCCCCCCTGCTTGTAGCTGAACCCGCTCCAGCAACACTGGGATGGGGTGGTGAGGGGGGAGAAAATAAATAAGATGAAATAGAGTAAAGAAAATAAAATGTGCTGCTTTCCCCCACGGAGATGCAGCAGGGGATGGTGCTTCAGTGGGGAGGGTGGAGGTGCAGAGGTCGCTCCAGAGGTGGCTCTGCTCTTCCCCAGAGCTGCTGGCAGCAGGAGGGGAGCAGTGGGATGGATGCAGGACACGGTGTTCCCTGGGCTGGGCGCAGATGGAATGGCAGCAGCGGAGGAGGAGGAGTGTGAACAATACCTTGGCCTGCAGGGAAAGCAGGGGGAGGTGGAGGCAGTGGCTCTGCAGAGACTGGAGATGTCTTGTGGGGTGCAAAGATGGGGAAGATCTGCCCAGATGTTGGCTCCTGCTCGCTGCAAGCCCCATCCTGTGGGGAGCCAAGGGAAGAAGGGAGTGGAGTATCCAGAGCAGAGACAAAGTTTTGGGGTCTTTCACCTAAGGCAGAGGGTTCCTGGGCAGCTGCAGCTTCCCCCTCCCAGAGATATTCCCTCTTATCCTGCTCAGTCCAGGCAGAACTCCTCGAGTGCCTCAACAGGACACGTCCCCAGTGCTGTGATGGCAGGAGGGATGGGGAGGTCAGAGAGGGAAGGTCAAACCCGGAGCGGGGAACTGGCCCGAGGCTCTGTTCCTTCCTCTGCCTTGACTCAGCAGTGCTAAAACTGCCCCAGAGGGACCCCACCCTGCCTGTTCCTGCTCCCCCTGCTGCCCTCTGATCTGGGGGGCTCAGTCAGGGCCCTGCCTGCAGCCACCCCACAGCCAGGGGGGTGACAAGGACACCCGTGTGGTGTCCCCTGCCCATGGACACGCCCTGCGTTCATTCCCTGCCTTCCCCATCACCCCCTCTCCCCCTGTCCCAGCGCCCATTCCCACCCTCTGCCTCAGCAGAGCCTGGAACACGAGCTTCACCTCTGAATAATTGATTGTGTGTGTGTGTGTTTGCCAGCGAGCAGAGAGCAGAGCTGTCTCCTGGAATTAAATCAGACCTCCCTCCTTTTTCTGCCTCTGCGCCACTTTCCTTCTGCTTCCCGTTTCTCAGGGCCTGGGAACTCCCACAACAGCAGCTTTCTCCTGTCCTTTAGTGCCTCTCAGGCCAGTCCCCATCCCGTTTAGCAGCCCCATCAGCATCTCCAGCTCCCACCGGTTCCTGCTGGCACAACACACCAAAACTGGGAACTTCTGCCCCTTCCAGGCCTCAGTCTCTGGGGTGTGCAGGAATGTGGAGCACAGGGAAGGATGGACGTTGGTGCAGGGACTGTTCCTTCTCCCACACCTCTGGAAAACGGGTGCCAGGGCTGGCTGAGCAATGAGTTTCTGTCCCAGAGAGCCACCAAACCAACGGCACCTGAACTCCAGGAGCAGGAGCTGGGGCTGAACCCAGTGGGGCTGCCAGGTCTGTGTTGGGAGTTTAAGCCTTTCCACTGCTCTGAGAAGCGGCGAGAAAATCCTCCTAAGAATTTGGCAAAGCCCTGAAAGGGGCAGTTTGAGCAGTTGAGAGCCAGGCAGGGCTGTGGGACTCAGTGAGGGGCTGTGGCACTGCTGGAATCGCTCAGCTGAGGGCCAGGGAATTCCACACATTCCCTCAGGGCGAGAAGGGAGGAATAGCTGGGAGTCCACCTGCACTGGGATCTGCTGTGTGCAAGCTCTGAGCCCCCCCCTGCCCTGGGGTCACTGCCCCAGGGAGGACGTGGCAGCTGCTGGAAGGGCAAAGCGCCAACCAGGAGGGATCCCTGTGCCCACAGAGCTTCCAAAATCATCGCTGCTCCGTGGCTGCTGCTGCTGCTGGGCCACTCCTGAGGGGCTTTACCCCCCACCTTGTGCAGACAAACACAGCTCTCCCAGGGTTAGGGCAGAGCCAGGTTTGCCCCAGCAGGGCGGGCACTGAGAACTCACCCCGGGGAAAAGTTCATATTCTTCTTCTTCCCGGGCTGGGAATAAGTTTGCAGAGCCCTTGTGGCCACGTGGCCATAACCACCCCTTCTTCTTCACCTTCCCCAGGTACTTCCCAGCCCCATCATCAGCTCCAATGGGCCAGGAGAGGATAAACTCTTCCGGAGCCAAAGCGCCGACGTGGAGATCTCGACGGAGAAGGAGCGGCTGAAGAAGATGCTGTCGGAAGGG